TTACAGAATCTATTCATTTTGATTTATAAAAAAATAATACTATTTTATATAATTTAACTCTTCTATTCCTAATAAAAAATGGCCTTTTTTAAAAATAAAAAGAATGAAATTGCTATATATACAGCATATCTAAGGCCACACAAATTTAATTTCTTGGTTTTCATAACATGAAATTTCAAACAAACCCGGCCAGCTTTTTTCATATACAAAAATTTTATAAAAATTTTATATCCGGTTATTATTTTTTACAAGTTTTCGAATTTTAACCCGGCCGTTAATTTTGCATGGCCTAATTTATAATAATATAAATTTTTTTAAAAAAAAAATTAATATTATTTTGGTATCTATTGTCGATTTTATACATACTTATGTTGTAAGAGGAAACGGATTTGAAATTTTTATATAAAACAGCATTCCGGAGTTGATTTTATCATATCAACACCCATACCCTAACCCTAATTTAACTAGTAAATTTCAAATCCACTTAAATTCCGTTTCCACTTACACATGTACTATATAAATAACTTTTACAAGTTAAAAATTGGAATATTGGTAGGACAAAATAGAACGTCCCAGAACAAAACAAGGCCAAAAAGCTTGGAAACAAACAAAATATACAACACTGTTTTCGACCACTACTATATCAAAAGTTTAATAAACATGTTAAGCAGGGGATCACATGGTCATTGTATTTTACTAAATAGGATATTTAAAATTTTTTAATGTGTATTTATTCTTTAAAAAGTTCTACAAAGATGGCTTGCGAAACAAATTGGTTCGGTTGACCAGAAGATCTGCACCGTTTTACATCATTGTGAGCACAAAAAAACTATTAGTACACTCGAAACAAATAGTGTAATGCAATTAAATAATTCTAAGGAAAAAAAATACTTCAAGAAACAAACAAGAACTAGAACCAATTGCCTAGTTAATGGAAATGACATACAAAATTTATCCTCACCTTGACTCGGGTACCTAGATTTTAAGGGATTAGGTAGTTTGTACTAGAAATTTTACACTCATTCAGTCGTAAAAACAGAATACAAATTAGACAAATGTAATCTATTTATATGCGGCGTTATCCAAGTAAGTAAAATCTAACTCTAAAGGGCTTATCCAAAACTAGATTCCAAACTTGTAGATTTTTACAATCATTTTATTGTTACGAAATATGATGTAATAAAGACCAAAACCAGAAAATGAAGCAGGATTTTACCATTATTGAGTAATAAAAGTGTCAAATCCACGTTAAAACATCCCCATCGTACAACTAGACTGATTACAATAATACAGTAATAAAAGATCCGCAAGTACATATCTTTTTCTGGCATTCGGCAATCGCCTAGGATATTAACATCATTTATACTTATAGAGGAAGATAAATTTACTTAAAGGGATTTCTAAATTGGTAAGAACGGGAAATATTATCCATCTAAACGATGGGAATTGATGATCAATCTATATTGATATCAATAAATAAAATGATAACCTTAATTTTTTAGTGTTACATTTATTTCTAAAATTGATTTTAACTATGGACAGTCAGTTCTTCACTAAAAAGACTGTGAACAGACCACCTAAACAAATTAGGAACTCTGTAAACTAGAATTAATTCATAGCATAAAAATTCAATCAAGCGAATTTTTTTTTATTTTCACATCTTACGAAAAAAATTTCAGCTTTGACTGAGTGATTTATTCACAAACTTGTCATCATTACATGGTTCTTAAATAACCGGATTCAATCAATATTTTGATCATGTGTCCAATTCAATTTACACTTGAATCGTTGTACTTGTTTATAACCCTTCTTAAGGATACAAAAGTTCCAGAGTTAGCACTGAGTTATACCATTTCCTACTTCTTTGATGGTTTAGTTTATAACTTCATTGGTTAAATGTTATTATGTCTAGGATTTTTCCATCGGCAAACATTTGATCAATATTTTGACAACATTTACGTTAAATTATTATCACCAACGAGTCAAGGCTTGACGTGCCAATCGAATAATATAACAGGATATGGCAGGTCTTGATGATGGTTACATTAGGTCATGAGGTTTTTGATAAAGCATAACAATGTGTTATCTAGGACCTGATTTTGGAGTAAAGTTTATGCATTTCATCGCCCACGGGTCAAGTCATGGGTATTAACCCTGAACAAAAAAAAAAAAGTTTGTGAACCGATATTTATTTATATATGGTTATGTTGGAACCTTTTTCAATGCCGAACTCCGTGCGTGCGTGCGTTACTAATCAGGTTTATACGTGATTTCTCCTCGTTTGACATCGTAAATCTCTTATACTTTATTGGTCCGATTACTTTCGTACTATATCATTTTATGATTTAACTATTAAACTTGTCAATTTCCTGAATTTTATGAATTTTTTTTTATATAATCGGTCTTACCCGATATTCTTATAACTATTTCATTATGAGTAAATACCTTTTTTAGACTAGTCAGTTAACCATGTATTTCCTCAAAGATGATTAACTTGTTTTCTCTTAGAATGTCTGAATCCAGAGTTGGTTCCGAGTCAACCGCTTAATCTTGACTAAAATTATACATCTTCACTTTAAGTACTAAATGGTATTTCGGTTGTAAAAATACTACACGTTTCGTAAATCGGTTGGTCATGTGAATTCATCAACTCGGTGACAGGTCTATCACGTAAACTCGGATTACATCATAAATCTCAATTAACGCGAATCATTAAAATCATTAAAGAAAGAAGTTTCATTTTTTTTTCATTTCATTCTTTACCATTCGTGAAAATTATTTTAAAAATAATTCTTTTGATTTCAAAATCTTTTTTAAAGTTATTCTTGAATAAAATGTTTCTCAAGTTTTATTTCATTAATTTTTCTGGAGATATGAAAGTGTCCAAATTATAAAATTACGTCTCGATAAAAAAAATAAATTACAAATCCCAAAATCGGTAATTGCATAAATGAATCAAGTTGAATTAATGCATAGTGGTATTATTAAAATGTTTTATGTAATTACATAAACCACACATTCTATTCCGATTCAAAAATGTTGAATAAAAAATTGATGCGAACATATGAATCAAGGTTTATTCCAAATTTGATGTCTAATCGGTACTTTCCGATAAAAAGTAGCTCGTGACGTCCCCGAATTATGGGATTGTAATTGTAATTGTCTTCCACAAAAAGAAATTCTATTAAGTGACGAGTTATGATTCATATATTCTTGAGACTTCTGTTTGACAGATTTAGTAAAATAATGTAAATTATGTTACGTAATCTGTAATTGATTTGGCAATCTTTTTTGACGTCAATGGTCTGGAGCAAAGCGGAGGACTTTGTTATTCAGTAACGTCATTTAGTGTACTTTATTATTTAGTGTGTTTGATTGCCAAATCAAATCAAAAAATGTCAATTAAAAAAAAAACATACAAATTACTTTTGTTATACTCAAAATTTTTAAAAATTGTTATTAATGCAGATAGCATAATACATAGCAAAGTTTTTATTTGCTAATTACAGGGACTCTAAATTTTATTATTTTATAACAAATAATTTTTTGGGGGTATGTTTATATATTTGTATATAAATTTTTAACACAAAATTTTCAAATTAAGGACAAATATTTAGGGTTAATGTTTGGAAAGGATTTTTGAAGGTATAGAACATTTTTACTTAGAATACCTCTTACCAATTAATTAGCCAGTTGTAAAACACCATAAATTTATTAACATTGATTATGATTTTATATATATACAGTATAAGTTTAATATATAACTTCAATATTTTATAAGAAAGATATAATAGATATATATGCAATGTTAGTCATTGTTTATTTAAATCCTACTTAATTAAATTACGTATTTATTAGTCATTATATTTAAAGCTTATTATATATATTTATGGCTATACGTACTATAGATTTTTTAGTTTTTAAACCAATTTTTTAACCAATTTTAGAGCTTTAAAGTAGTACTACGCACGTATAGTTTTATTTATAATTTTTCTTAATTTGAAAGTATATGTATTTTATGTTATACGTATAGTCTAAACTTTTGTAATATTTACTACGTATAACTTGTAATATTTACTACGTACGTACGCATAACTTTGGTAATATTTACTACATACGTATAACTTTAGTACTTATTTTAAATATAGATATAGTACCTATTTTAAATATAGTATAATACTTATTTTAAATATAGATATAGTACGTATTATTATACAATAAGTTTTATTTATTTTTAACTTTTAGCTTTATAATTAATAAGATCAAAAATCGAACCATATACTAATACTTTATACTACTTCGTACCATAATTTATTGTTTATACGTACTTTTAATATTTTAAATTTTTTATAAAATTTTTTACAAATATACAGTTAGTTCTCTCTAAATATATAGCCAAAAGGCCTACTACGTATATATGCAAAAATCAAAAAATTTGCATTTAGAAAAATAAAATCTATATGTAAGTTGGAATCAAACAAAACCATGTATTTAAAGAGGTATTTATAAACTATGCACTTATGAAGGTTGCATTTTGAAAGTTTTAACTATAACTGACTACAGTATATAATTTTAATTTAGTTAATTAATCAAAAACTATACAAAATTGATAAAATGCTTAAAAAATTGCTGTTATAAAACAACTCACCTTATCAATATACATGATCTAGACAGTAATTTTTTGTTGAATATGAACTGTCAAAATCTATTTATGGATCCAAATAACAACATTGAATTTCTACAGTAGGCTTTGGATATAACCAATCTTTCTATAACGGACTCTGGATGTAACGAATTCAAAATTTAAAATTTCATAATAGTTCGGTATGAAAAACATAGTAATTTCCTATAACAACCTTTTTTTTCTTCAGTTCGTATAAACTTAGTCTACAATCTACGGCCGGCCGGCATTAGTTTGATGCTGGTCGGTTGATTATCATAATCAGGAACATGTACCAAGTCTTTTGCAACTTTTTACCATTTAAATATCACATTTAGACATGACTTATTTGTTTTTACGTTATCGATTCACTTTTTTCTCAAATATAACGTGTCGCACTTTCTCCGAGATTACGAGCCAAAAAAATGGTTTGCGTGCAAATGTCTTAACAGGTGACACTACTTTAAAAAAGGCTTTGAACAAGAATGTAACCTCCGGTATTTTTATTTCTATGATTAAATTTTGTCGTTTATAGATAAAATTAATTATTTGGCACGTCAAAAAAGAAATTGCCACTCTTCCGCCTCTTCCTCAAATTCCACAAAAATATTGTAGATCTCAATTCGAAGAAGGAGATATGGTACTTTTACGCGATACACAAAAAAGAATTAAAAGTTCAAGAGTTTTCCTAGTTGGTCCATTAAAAATTGGTAATAAAAGGGAAGTTCCAGGTGGTATTTTGGAACATTCTAGCATTATTGGGAAATCAATTAGAGATATTGTGAAGACTAACAAAGGTATTTTATTATATTTAACTTACAGTTTAACTTTTCTTGTTTTAATATTTAAATCTTGCACTAGCAGATAAGTCATATACTATACATTTCCCTACTATGGATGAGTATGCATTTAAAAAGTTATATTTTCTTTTTATCAATAATTTTTTTTTATAAAGTGCCACTAATTTGTTCAATGAATTTAGATACGTTGTTATGATACCGCGTTTGATGACGCCTATATATCCAAAGGATGCCAGCGCTATAGTAATATAACTTTTCAAATTGATTTATCTGATTTTACATTCTCTGTTATAATTAATTAATTAATTCATTATGTTAGGTTTCTCTACTTGATTTACATCCATATTCTCGAATAATGGAAGCTGGAACGGGTAATGGATCTTTAACTCTTTATTTGGCAAGATCTTTATATCCCACTGGCCATTTACATTCTATAGATATTAATCGTGATGCCAGTATTAAAGCCCGTAAAAATGTTACGCGTTTTTCACGTGGAATATATTCCGATTGTATATCGTTCAGCATAGGTCAATGCTCAAAAGTACTTGATTCTATGGACATTACCCTTTCAATGTATGATGGTGTAGTATTAGATATGCCTGAGCCGTGGAATGAACTATCTTCGATCGTTCCACGAGTGAAAATTGATAGGTATATTGTGTGCTATCTACCAAACATGACTCAAGTATTGGAATTAATAAAACAAATCAAATATCATCAAATCGCATTAGCGACTGAACAAGTTCTAGAAATACAATGGAGACCATGGAATGTTAGGGCCACAGTTATAAGAAACAAAATGGATGATGAAAGTTTTTCGGTTAAACAATTAACTCTAAATGATGAAATACCTGATCAAGCTTTAGGACATATTTGTCGACCTTCACATGAACCGACTGGACATACTGCATTCTTAGTACAATTGAAAAAAATTGTTCATACATAATTAGGGTGTTAAATCAATTAAATAGTCAAACTTCTGTTAGATATGTTGATTATTTTATTGTGATCAAATTTATCGGTAGAATTAAAATAATCAAACATCTTTTTAATATTCTATGTAATGTTGATTTTAATAGTTAAATTTTATAAGCCAGATTTTTTTTAAAAATAAACCTAATTAGTTGACATATTCAAATTAATATTTTAATATTTTAATATTTGAGTGACGCCAAGATTTCAGGCTTTCAAGTTTAGCATTTATTATTTATTCGGACTTACTCTAATCAGAGACATATATGATGCAGAAGTAAATTTAATTATGTTGCCGGTCATGGCTAACATCGGGAAATTTTGAATCTCGATGTAATTGATGAAATATTGGTCATTATCAATTTGATTTAAATCAATGATTAACACCATCAGCGATGATAATCTCTTGAAATCTATTTATTATAATCGATTAACTGTTTGGTAAATAATAAATAATAAACTTGAAGCTCAAAGGTTGGTACGTATTACTTATTTATTTAATATTTTTAATTTAATAAATTTATTTGTAATATATGTTATTTGCAAGATTTTGGTATATTTTTATATAGGATTTTGTTAAAAATACATTTTAGTTTATTTTTTTTTTTTTTTTATATTAGTAGTTTTATTAATATTTATTAAAAGTGCATATACAAGATCGATGATTTTCTGCATTTTATAGAATGCAACAGAACTCAGAATCAGATTGTAAACACAAAATGCGTCAAGTGTAGCACGGAATTGTTGCAGAAATTAGAGAAATAGCACAGAAATATCACCAAAGGTAGGGATTTATAGCAAGTTTGTAACTTTTAATGGTTAAACATAACTTTTGAATTGTCCTTATGTAGAAAATAATGAATACGAACGTGGTCGAGCTAAAATTTTTGTTTGAAGTTAGTATAAAATTGGTTATACTGTACATAACCGATGCAGAATTCATAAATTTTAGAGATCTTGATGCGATTAGTTAATGATCGTAATAAAATAAAACTATAATTATTTATATTAATTTTTTTGTTGACAATTCGAATAAGCAAATTATGATGTAATCAAAGTGTTCTTAAACATTATTATCGCTCTTAGTGTAATGAATAAAATAATAATTCTTAATAATGAGAGTTGATCCATGACAAAGTTACTTGAGTAATCTTTTTGACAAATATAGAAAAAAGATGGTTAGCAGTAAAAGTTTGTAAATTGAAATGACAAACTCAACGTTTTATTCAAGTAATAAACCTTACAATTATCATTTAAATATTCATCACAATAACAGATTGTTGTACTAAATCTAGTATACTTAATGATGTGAATGTAATGCCGTAATTGGTTGTATTTGTTTTGCAAAAACTCAATTATATCGTGACCCAGTAATTCAATTTGGATAATTTTGATATCTTTCGATTCGTTTCGACGAGACGAATCGAATAGTATCGCAATTATCCAATTTAGATTACTGGGTCACGATATAATTGAGTTTTTTTAAAAACAAATACAACCAATTACAGCATTGCACTTACACTATTAAACTACTCACTACCAAAAAAAAAAAATTACAATTTAAAAAAAAATTTTTTAGCATTGTTTTGACCGTACTGTATAATGGACAAAATATGCAAGGCCAACAGTCTGAACACATTGCATGCGCAATTGTACAGTTACAACAGGCTTCGTGTTTCAGTTAATAATAAGACATATAACCCACTCCGGAGCACTCTAGAAGAGGGTTATATGTTTTATTATAGTCTGAAGTATTCCATTAACAACCTTACGTTCATAGGCAGAAGTTTGTCTAATTGGCTAATAAATAAATTTAATTTTACATTATTATACACTTTAGAGTACGTTTTAAAAAACGAAAACTAATCATAATGAAATAAAAAAAGTGTATAGAAGGTTTAATTAGAGCTGTAGGACTCTAATCAAAAGTAAAATCTAATTCTCGTCCGTTTAAAAAAAATCAGCTTTGATTTTATCGGGTTTTGAAATGTTATTACTATACTAACTTTTTTAAACGGACGAAAATTAGATCTTATTTTTGGTCATGAAGTTTTACAGCTCTAATAAAACCTTCTATACAGCTTTTTTTATTTCATTATAATCAGTTTGCGTTTTTTTTAAAAAGTACTCTAAACTTTCTAAATAATATAAAAGTTAAATTGAATTTATTAGCCAATCCGACAAACATAGCTAACTAACTATTTTAAATATCTTCTCAAATTTTAAGATTCTGGTTAACTAGTTCATAATGTTTATCTCAATAATATGAACCATATACCGTATCGTCACGAAATAACGCCCCTGGGCGTTATTTAGAGACACATTGCTTGAATAGCTAATTATTAATTTAAATTTTGGTTATTAAAAGTCTTCGGCTAAATTAATTATTAGCTTTCTTCAAGCAATGTGCTTCTAAATAACGCCCGGCCCGGGGTGTTATTTCGCGACGATACGGTACTCATTTTCCGCTACGCAAAATTTATTCACCAACACTGTTTGACCCATTGATTATCACGAACAAAATCGATGATTTATCACCACAGAAAATCGTTAGCCCTGCTGATAATACAACGGTAACCTATTGTATAAAAGAAAATATATTAATAAATGAGTGCCGTCAATAGAAATCAAGTAGATTGAAAAAAATTAATACCTTAATTTTCACTACTAATATCTCGATAAATTTCGATGCTATTATTATGATTAAATAGTCAAATGAAAGCTTAATATCCAAGCTTTCTTTTGACTATTTAATCATAAAAATACCTTCAAAATTCATCGAAATATGAGCAGCGAAAGTTAAAGTATTGATTTTTTTTTTAAAATGTCAATTTGCTTGATTTCTATTGACGGCAGCTCAAATACGTCAAATATTATGTGGCCCTTTCGTATGCTAATGGTATCGCTTTCTCCAACACGTAATTGATTCTTGGGTAACGTATAAAAACCAAGGATAATGGTTATATTATTAAAAAAGATTCCTAACTAAACCTTCTCCGGATCCGCATATATGTTCAAAAGAAAACGTGCCCAAAAGTTTGTTTCTATGTGCTGCGCACAGTCCGCGCAGCAAAAAATAATCACTAATCAGTAGACCGTAACAACCTTATGTTTTCGTTAAATATATCTAGAAACTAGTCACGTTTTACGCATAAGATGAACTACTTCTCCCGCAATATCTAGTTCTAGCAAAAATCTTTTATAGTAGATTCAAAATATGTAATTGTCGTCTCGTTATCTCTGGTAAAAATAGTTCGCGATTGTCTTCGGTGAAAATACTTCTTAAGAAAAGCAGTTATCATATCATAAACGAAAATAAAAAATATATATATATAAAGTGTTAGGGCCGAACAAAAAAAAAATAATAATAAAATCCTACAACGAAGTGTGTAAATGAAAAAAAAATGTGTGAAGTGAAAGTGTCAGATATTGTTTTGATTGTTTTGATTTTTTCTGATTGGTTGATTACTATTAAAATTCTTGGCCTGAATTTAGGATCTGCAACCATCGTAATCCTGGCCAACATAACTGTTCTAGTGCCACCCAAAAAAGTTTCGAAAATCATATGATATTGTCAATTCATGATTAGACCATGACAATAATATTTATCAAAAATATTAACAAAATAATTGATTTAATAAGTGATTTTTTTTCTTCGATTCTTTAAAGTGAAAGCAATCGTTAAAAGTATAAAATCCAATAAACACATTATTCTAAAAATATGTTAATTGCCGTAACCAAATTTCCATTAACAATAAACGAAAAAAGAAAATCGAAATAAATTATAAAAACCAATCAAGAAAATGCAATTGAACCAGAAAATCTTATAGATTTAATTTTTAATGCGCTTTCGGAAGATTATAACTATTTGAATCCAGGACGCAGCAACAAAAAATTATGAAGAAAACAAATAGTAACAAATGGCTTGTGCTATTGTATAAATTGAATGATTATAATCATTTTAAAAAGCTCCAAATACTTAGAAAAACCGTAATTATAATACTTTCTACTTAATTGATTACTTATCGTTATTATTTTGTTGGTTTAAATTTTTTTGTTTGTATTTTTTTTGTTACGTGATGATCGAAACTTTTTTTTGGGTGGTGATTTTACTCCGGTCGGTTTTGCCGATCATAATCGACAAATTAAGAAAAAAAGGTCTCTATTTTAAAATGTCACCTATGAAACTGCTTTTCATGCTCTAATAAAAAAATTTCTTCTCATAATTTTGGCATATGTTTTATTTTTCTAAATTCTTTTTTGGCCTAATCTAACAGTAATTTAATACTAACTTTAAACTAGCTTAATGTGGGCCGATGTTAGGCAGATGATCGACAAAACCTGGTACAGATTTCTTGTTTGTGTTTCATAGGCAGAAATTTGTCTGATTGGCTAGCTTCGTAGACCAATTTGTAGATCTACATGTGATTATTAGCCAATCAAATCATACAATTTGCAATTCGTTATTTTTATATTACAGTTCTAAAAGCGAAAACTTCAAGAAAAAATTTATATAAATCGATAAATACGTATGATTTATTGGTTTATATACATATAAAAGATAGATATATGCATATAGAATAGTGTCAAAATGGTAAAACAAAGCTCGAATCACTTAGCTTTTTTTTCTTTACCTCTTGCGGAAAGTCGTGTCTAGCCAACCCCTCTTAAATTAGAGATTATTAGAGATTATTTTTAAAATTAGCTTTCTAGTACCTTTTCGAAGCTAAAGATGATGTTTGTTAAGAATGGTTACTTGCGTAATGTTGCGTTCTCAAAAAGTACTCTAAAACATATAAATAAGTTACCCGGGCAATTGATTTACATTAGCCAATCAGACGAATTTCTGCCTATGAGTTTTATAACTCAGCATTTTACTTATGAAACAACCTTCTGCGCGCTAAAGAAAAAAAAAGCTTTTCTTGCAAAATTTTGGTGCTACAAAAGCTCTTCCTAATAGAAAAATCTAACTCT